AGGAATTTTAAATAGTTAATTTGATACGAATATCGATATATTTTGTTATGCATAAAGTACTATATATTGATGCATATTACTTAAAATTCAAGATTACAAATAATTATGCATAAGTGCAACTTATTAAAGCTTGATGTTTGAATTCGTATAAATAACTGCGGATAAACATAATCAAATAGAGAATGAACCCCCAGTCACTGAGACTGACGCCTATGATACGACTGAGGATGTCAAACAACTGCTCCCTCCTTTTGCAACAGTCCTTGACAAAATGGACGACCTACAACAGGGAATGCCCTCAAAAGGATGGCCTGCCTAACGGTCTCTCTGCTGTCCAAGCTAAGGTTCGTGAAGTCAAAGATAAGTTGAATGCCATGAAGACGGAAGTCCAACAAAACTTTGAAGCCATCACACCTCTCTCTAGCAAGACTGAAGATGTTTAGGCTCAGCTTACCAAACATGGTAAGCTCCTTAAATGAATCTTCCAACTTGTACAACATCCAACACCTATCCATGAACCCTCCTTTAAAGTAGCTGATCATCATCAGCTGGATGTGGTTGCTAAGCTCAACCTTCATCAGGCCGAAACCATTGCCTCCATGGAGCTAAAGCTGCAAGCCCTCTTTTCTCGCATCTCTCTCAGCTAATGATGTTGATTATGACAAAAAAGGGAGAAGAATACAGAGAAGGCTACTGAAAAGGACCTTGGGGAAAAGGCATTGGAGAACCTACTGAGGATGCCAGGGAGAATATCCCTAAAGCCATCAATGATGATGATGTCATGGTTACTGCTACTGACCATCAAGACCTTCATCCTTCCACCTCTGCATTTCCAAATGGTGGTGATGAAGATGATGATGAGGCCTTTGAGCCTCAGATCCCAGACGCAGGTACTGACCTTGGTGGTGATGATGATGATGACGACGACGATAATGATGATTTCTTCATTCAGATCATTCCAAGATAGCCTGCCAAAGGAATCTCCTTCAGGGAACCTGCTTCCCAAGGGGAGAGATCATCGCACCAGCACTCTTCTGGCAAAGGAAAAGGAGTCGCTGAAGAAAACCTTGCCCTAATTCTTGGGGCACTCAGCTAATCTGAGGATGCAGACACTTCTTCCAGATGATGAAGATGAAGCTTGCAACCTCATAACCAGGAAGTCGTCTAGACAACCTGTATGTTCAGGGTTGAAGAATAGGGGTGTGCGTAGGTTGAGTTGGGCGGTTTACAACCTTTTTACAACCCAACCCAATTATGGCAGTTTGAAAAAATCTCAACCCAATCCAACCCATTAAAAAGTATAACCCAACCCAAGCAAGGGTTGGGTTGGGTTGTCCGGTTAGTAGTTACACAAATTTGATGAATGAAATAATTCATAACACTTAACTTTGTAGACCATATTATAAAGCGTCCTATCTAAAAAGATTACAATAAGTTTATAGGAGTTTTTGGACGTTTCGACAAGTGTTTTAGAATCATCTTTAAGTAAAATATCGTATTAGTTATTTATAGAAACATTTTGAAAAGTGTCTCGTAAACTCATCTATTTATAGGACACCTATGTTCCCATGACACTTTTTCAAGTCGTGTCGTATAAAATAACTAATACGCCACTTTATTTTAAAAGCGTTATAGAATTTGTTAAGACGCACAAAATCATCCTATAAGCATATTGTAACTCTTTTAGATAAGACATTTTTCTTGTTTCTTCCTATAAAGTATCACATTAGGACGTTTAGACATTTTAGGCATCCTATAAGATCTAATGTTGTTGTAGCGAAATGCTATAACAAAGCATTTTTTTCCACTAAAGTACAACATAAAATGACTGGGTATTTAGATTGATGGATTCGTCAACTAAATATCTATCAATATTATTCATATTCTCCAACATATCAATTTGTTGTTGCTGCAAAAAATATTTCAATAATTTTCCTAATTAATTAGATCATTTGTCATCATTCTTTGATCGTGAATCTCTTTTGATAACCTATACATTTAGCTAAAATGAAATAAAACATAATATAAATAAAAAGTTATACAATATTAATATATATATATATACACATAAACACACACACACACACAYATATATATATATATATATGTATAATTTTATAAAAACTATATATTAGCGGCAGGTTGGGCGGGTTGAGGTAGGCCCAACCCAATTTCAACCCTCCTAATTGGCGGGTTAGCGGTTTGGCAGGTGAGTGTTTTGGCGGTTAGGCGGGTTAGGTTTAATTGGGTTGCTAGCGGGTTGGATTGGGCGAGTTAGGTGTAATTGGGTTGACAGTTTTTTGTACACCCCTATTAAAGAAGACTTGAGAATGACTCGGCTAATAAGTCAACTTGACCAATCCAGAGTAAAAATTCCCTTTCATACCTCTAGATGTGGTGAGTTTGACTTTCACTCTGAAAGCTGAACGTAAAGAATCCATGA